AATTAAATAATGCAACAAAGAATATAGACTAATAATATACATGCAAAAAGTAGATAAATTCATTTACCTCTCAAAATTTTCTTGGCTTTCTAAATATACGACAAGAGCCGTTACAAATTCATCCAAGCTAATCGTTAATTTTCCCACGGGAACGATGTTGTTACTCTGAGTGAAACTGAGGATTATCTGTTCATAACACAGTGTTATACAATACGTCATTTGATAGATGAAAACCTTGACTTTCTATTGGTTATAGGTAATAGATAATGAAATGTAAGAGAACTATCAACAAATTCTGAAAGAGAGGATGTGACAGGTGGGTATGGCAGGAGGGGTCTGATTTTCTATTCGGTAGCTCTGTAACCAAACAAAACTGATAACTATAAAAATTATGGTTTGTCTGAGCAATAACGATTTTATAGAGAGTAATTTTCGAGGGGTGATGGATAAAATAGGGATGATAACATGCTAAGACAAAATGTGTCACGTGGATTACTCTTGTGGAAATTCAGGATTTTTTTAATATTTCCTTAAGAACTTAAAACTTGTATACTATTAAAATATGTATTATTACCTAAGATTTTATGCTATTCTAATTGGAATAACATAAACAAAAAGCAGTATAATAAAAGTTTGAATGTGAGACACTAAAACCTTGTGTCATGTACGGTAAAGGATATCTGGGGCTATAGGGTTAGAGGAGGAAATAACCAGATTTCTTTCCCTAAAGCAGACTGGACATTGAATTATTTCACCTGACAATTTAAAATAACCCATAGAGAAATAATAAAGTTACATCTGTTTTTATGGAGGAACACTAGGGTTATTACGTGTGGCAGTAAAGTATTAAAGCTGTTTTCTATAAGAAAATGAGGGCTATTATGTGTGGCAGTATAACATCAACAGCTCTTTTTAATGAGAAAATTAGAATTATTACAAATGGTTATGAAGTGTTAGCAACTGTTTTTAAAGAAAAACAGTATGTATGTCTGTATGGTATTTTTAACTGTTTATATTATGTGGTTGTATGCCAAAAAAAGTTATCAAAAATATACAATCAGAGAGTTTTGGCACATAAATTGTATCTCTGGACCTTTATTTAAAGTATATAGTGGTTTTTTTCTTCCCACAACATAAGAATTTAATTAACACAAATATGTTATTTGCAATTTTTATGAGCATTACATTTTAAAAAACATTTCTTTTCAATAACCAGTATCAAAATTCTTTACACATACCAAAAAATTTCATCACCATTCAAGTCTTAATTTGAAAATGAGGACAATATAACTTAAAATATTGAGAAGAATTATTAAATAGCCACAGATACAAAATAAAATACATGTGCATTACCTGGCAAGTGACTTTACTTTCAGGAGGAAACATCTTTTCGGGGTGTTGGACAGGTACATCTGAAATATGAAGGTCTCTGACAAAGCCTCGAATGTTTGACGACAATCTCACCAACATTCCTAAATGCACGTGTCTCTCAACAGTTCCCTTAATTTTGGCAAAAAGGACAATAAAGTCAATTTAAGCTTATCAGTGTAAACATAAAATGCCATTTTCTTCCACTTAATAATTTCTTTGTACAATTCATATCTTAAAATATATATATATTACCTACTGTTTAATTCTCTTTACAAAATTGCTTAATTACAGGAAAAACACACTGATTCACTCATCAGAGTAATTAATTATAGAACAAAGTACTGGACCATGAATTCCAAAACCAGGGGGCAGAGCCCCAAAACATGTGTGTGTGGTGGGGGGGGGGGTTGCAAATTTAATGTGAATAAAAGAGACAACAGAAGTAAGTTGTTCCATGTCTTTGGATTAATTTAGCAAGGTTGCCTAATGTCATGAAGAGATGGCTTTGAGCTACAAAAATTAATTAACTACCCAATACTCTCTACAACAATAAAAATAAATATAAGAGTTGATCAAAATTACTATCCAAACATTACAATAAATATATATCAGTAGTCAAGTTGGCTCAAAAAATCATGTCCTGGTCTTGGAATAAATCAATTGCAGGGAAAAAAACTCATTATGCATTTACGGTATGCATAAAAGTGAGAAAAGAATGCAACACTTTCTTAGACTGTAAAAGAGTGCCTTTGTTGTTCTCCTTCTGACAGTAGAAATATTTAACAAACGTGTATGCAACTTACAACAAACTTGCAAAATACTTTAGTATCTAGTTTTGTCTTAACCCTTCTGCAATGGGAGTCCTGTAAATGCTTTTATGCCCAAGTCACTGTGTTACATTCAAAATTTAATTACACCCCTTTACTATCAGTGTATGTGAATGAAATTAAGATTATAATGTATGTTATGATTCAAAGTTTTATTTTATAAAGTTTTAAGTCCTTTATTTCAAAAAGATATCTTTAAAAACTACTTAACTTCAAATGTATTGTCACGTGACCAAAGAAACTGTAATATGCCTCAAGGGCACCATTGACTTGTGTTGAGATGAATAATAAGTGGTAAAGAACAAGAAAAGAAAAACATTAAAAATTAACTATATGTGAATAGGAAAAGACCTGAAATTATGAATTTAACAAAATGAAAATCTTTAAAGATATTCTACAAAATATTAAAAGGTATATGTTTTTTTCTATTTCCTAATTTTAATTATTCCATTGCATTATACATTGATGATAATAGCTAGAGTTAGTGATATGGTAGAGAAACTGAAAAATAAAACAAACATTTACCTTAAAACACTTTTTATATCCTTTTAGGAGGTTCTAGAGATTATGCAAATGAAACATGAAACTATAAAATGAAGAAAAGTATTTTTATACTTCAAATGAAAATCACCTTGCACTTGATTCGTTAATAGTTTTAATGCAAGCAACTACAATAAAAAAAATACATATTTTTAGTAAATACACTTGATTATAATAACTTCATTCTTTGTGTACGAAATACTTATGATCTTTAACAATATCATACCAGTTTTCAAATGGATATGTTACAATATTTCAGGGGTATCGCATGTATTATCGTACAAGTGAAATTCAGGACTCGATTTCCACATGTTAAACGAGCCCACCATGAAAAGGTTAAAGAAATTCATATATTTATATTTCATTTTACCATTATTTTCTTTTATGTTATGAAATGTCCAATATTTTGTTGTGAGACACTGTGTTAAACAATACTGAAAATACTTCCTTTCATTTTAGAATTTCAATTTTTTTCAAATGTTGATAAAAAAAAAAGTCCATAATTACATTCTCAACTGGCAGAGAAGCCACTTGACTATAGAAGACAGTAAAGTCTTGATAATTCTTTTGATGAAAGGACCCAAAATTGAACATTTCAATTACAGATGTGAGATCAGAATCTTCACTACTGCAGACAAGCATAAGTTCCAAATTTAAATATGCATAATAGCTTCATTTGAGACATACAGTCTTAATACTGTTTAAAATGTATAACAACATTGAAACATTTTCCACTGTGTTAGTTAAATTAAGTTTTGTTTTCATTTATCTATTTATTCTACTCTTTTAACTTTTGCTTTATTTTTAAATTGATTTTTAATTAAACATGAAAGTAAAAATGCAAAATGATACAATGTTAATTACACTGTAATTTAGTCCTAAGAATTTAGTCCTGTTTTAAATCTATTGCAAAACAAGTTTTACAATACAAACCTTGCTGTTCAGTATTTACTTATTTAAATCTGAATTAAAATTAGAAAATAAATTATGTATTAAGAAATCAAAAGTATTTTAATGAAAATCAGTTCTACAAGTTATATGAATTAAACCTGATAGAAATTTATTCTAAGTTATGAACTAATGCTTTTCAAAACTGGTTAAAAAAGTCAACTTAGATTTCATGAAAATAATAGTTCTACAATAGCTATGTAAGATATTACCAGTCTGATTCTATATCTATTTATAGAATTTATGAATAATTCATGATCAATGAGGTGTTCCATACATGCATTCAAACAGTCCAAAAAATAAGGGTGGTGTTTCTTAAAACAAGTGAACAATAAATTTGATGTATTATGGGTTGAATTGAAATTAAATTAGCAAAAACTACACATGTATCAATTTCTTAATCGCCATAAACTTTATAATAAATGATTCATTGACATAATTTATCATATGGCACGTGACAAAGCATAAATACTGATTCATACGCAGTTCAGGGAGACCTCCTTTTGACAACTATTAGGTTCAAGCTTTAGAGGTTGAGGAGTTAATATAAAGGCATGTTTTCATGAAGATTGTTTATCTTGGTAAAGTGGTGAAATTCCATTCATGTGTGGAAACAAATTATAGGTAATTATTTTAGCACAACTCTTGAAAGGTGGGGTGCAAATGTTTTGGCACATTTTAGAACACATGGACAAAAAAGCTAGCTCAACTACTGATTTTTTTGTATACATAAAAAACAAGACAAAAGTGTGATCCCGATTTTTTCTCACACTATACTCAAGAACAGTGAAGTTATTTGAGCTACTTTAATAGTAACTGCTATTTCATACAGCTACACAGTTTCTCCTCACCACAAGTCTGCTTCTTTAAGAATACTTATTTTAACCAAATCAATTCCTTAATAAGAAACAAAAAAAGTCGATTTAAACTACAGTTTTCTGAAGATAAGATACTAATGAATAGAAACTTCTGAAGTATTTTTTAAGCTAACTTCTCAAATAAAAAAGATAACTAAGAGAGCAACTGCTGTTAGCTAAGACTTTATCTTCCTACATATGAAGTATAATTTGTTTATAATCTTATACCAAAATATAAAAATTCAATCTCTGTTACTGTAAGGTTTGAATGTAATTTAAACCTTAATTTATGGCTTTGGTACAAAAAGCTAATATCTGGCTTCACAAGAACCCTTGGAGATTTTACAAACACACAAAGAAAAGTTCTCTTTCCAACCTCAAAGACAGCTCCTGGTATCAGCTCCTCATTTGTGATATATTTACGCTCAAGGACTGATCTATTTTAAACAAAAAAAAAATATCCTTACCTTCAAATATTTTCTGTGAAAGAACCATATACATTATATATAAACAAATAAAAAAAAACAAAAACAAAAATGGGTTCATTTTCTTATACGTAATTGTGGAATATCCTACTTTAATGTTTTGGTTTCTTTAATATTGAAAATGAGTCAGGTTTAAAACCTACTAGTTGTAGCTAACAGAAACAAAACTGAACACATCAACAAAACATAATACTGTAATAAAAACCCATAATTAACACTTTAAAATTCTACTTTTTAGGTGTTCTCTTCAACATTATGTTCATTACGGGACATAAAAAATTTTTTTATTAAACAAGTAATATGTTTAAAATATGAAACAACGCAAGTTACTCCCTGTGTGTAATTCTAAAACAAACAATAATAAAAATTTGCACCAACACAAAGCTTAAGTAATAGGCTTTTTAACTTTGATTTGTTCAAAATATTGACTACTTATTTATCTTTTCCTTCTTTTTATTCTTTAAAGAATATATCAGTACATTTAATGCCATAGCTTTCCTTTACCTTTTCAGTGATAGTTTCACAACTCCATCTAAGTAGTCTAAGGCCATAACTCGACATCTGAAAATGAGAGAACTGCAACTTTAATATTTGTAACATCAAAATATCAGAAACTTCCTAATTTAAAAGTAACTACCACAAATAAATTTAAAGAAATATCAAGTAATATGAAAATTCAAGGACTTTTTCCAAGTTCATTTCAAAAGAACCATAAAATTCTGGAAAGTTAGAATTTTTTTTTATATTTAAGCTCTTGATGCTCCTCATTTTAAAGGCAAATAATAAAGCCTACATACTTTCAAACACTTCAGAAGTTGTTTTCCATTGAAAGTCTAAGTCTCCAGACAGTACGAGACTGGGGTTTCTTCTGGACTACTTGTTAGTTTGTTTTTGTGGCAGATGAAATTAGCTTTTCTGGATTTTATACATTATTAACAGAGGCCTCCTAATTTCCGAGATAAACTCAACACCGAACTTCAATTAGTACCTTGTAAAAACTAATAAATGTTCTTGACCTTGAACTACTGAAAGTTTTTGACCAATATAATTTATATCTCACCAATTTCAGCTACAAAAAGCTCTTAACTTGCCTACTTTACACACTGCTATCAACTTGAAATCCCAGACTTTTCTTACATAATTTATATATTATCAACAACATGAATCACCAAAAGTTATCCTACATCATTTATACATCATCGACAACTTGAACTACTAAAAGTTCTTGACCTACATCAATTATACATCACTAACAGCTTGAACTACTAAAAGCTCTGGACCTATATAATTTATACATAAACTGACCTACTAAACATTCTTGACCTACATAATTTAGACATCATTAACAACTTTACCTTCTAAAAATTCTTGAACTACATAATTTAAACATCATTAACAATTTGAAGATCTAAAAGTTCTTGACCTACATAACTTACACATTAACAACTTGAGCTACTGTTGCTATTTTAGTATTTTTAAATGAAGTATGTACCTGTGAACTGATCCAACCAGGAATGAATCCTTTACATTTTCGATCTCGGAATCTGACAGTTCAGATTTCTGGGGAAAAAAATTCATTTATGCAACAAACATTTTTTGTAGAAGTTAAATTTAAAATATTATGGTTTAATAAAACCATAAAATATAACTTATATATATATATCCAAGTCTCAAACTTGCGAGTTCCAGTCTTTACACAAGTTCCATTTTCATAAAAAATTAAGTCTTAATATTTAGGTATAACTTTAATAAAATATTAATACCATTCTTCAAAAAAAAAAAAAAGAAAAAAAAACCAAATGAGACCAATAAAATAACAAAAGATCTGAAGGTTGATGTTAATATGAATATAGCCTCAGGGGTGGGATGAAAGTTTGATTTTCATCACAATCTTACATAGGAATTTTCACTTTCAAAAATAAATATACATTCATCTAATACTACAAATTACTATATTTATATATATTAAGTTTATGACAAATACAAAACACTGTAAACACCACTGATGTAAATATAATTTTACTTACATAAGCTAATCCCTTAACATTATCTTCAAGTTTGAAGTAGACCACTGACTTTTCCACACTCATAACTTTAGCCTCTTCTATAAGTGTCCCAACATGTAGCTTTCTAAACCTAGTTTGAAAGGTTTGTGGGTTTGGCTTAGGAAGAAGACTTAGGTACACAACACGTGTTACAGGATGAATGTAGAGCACTGTACCAGTTACCTAAGTGAAAAATAAGATTACTCTTTAGTAACACTATCCAAAGTAAAATTCTTGATAGACAGGTACTTTCAAACAAAAGAAAATTTGGTTCAACACGTATATTATTGTGGTTAACTATTTTCAAGACTGAGGGGATTAATGACGTGACCCCCAATTTATACTTTGATAAAACTTACACTACATCACAGATCTATCAGTAGTAGTACTTTTGTTAACTGAAATCTAGTAAAAAAATTTAGAATGTACTTCTTTCTCCTCCATCAATTTAAAGCATGAACAGAAGGAGTGGTGTGAACCATTACAGTTTATGCAATATGGATCCATTAACATTCATAACTATCATTGCCTTTGCTACCACATTGAGCATATGTCAAAGAGCCACAAAATATATTAAGGTCCAAACTATTGGCACTGGAAATATCCAAGAGGGTTAGGAACATAGGGCATCACCTTACAGTTCAGACAACCCGCCATGTGGTGGGTAAACATAGTGATATAAACATCAAAATAAGAATGTTGGTAGGCCACACTGTACCATCTTTTTGAAGGAGATTCAATGAACATCTGCAACTCCTAGGCTAGAGAAACTAATAAGAATATGCGACTTCACGTTGTTAATTAGGTCCCTCTCAACGATCACTCCTCTTGAAGAATTTAAAGTAGTACGTGGAGTAAATTCAGTAGGAATATCCTCAATGGAGATGGTGCATGGTCGTTTACTTACTGTTTTTTCATTTTAAGTTTTTTGGTTATCCATGAAAAAAAAAGAAATATTCAGACCCACTGACCCCACACACCATGGAGTCTTACAAGTTGACCATAGCCACACAGGACCAGACAATTAACCTAGGGGTGGATCCCAGGGGCACCCATCTACAAGACCAAACTATGGCTTTCTATTGGTTATGAATAACATAGCATTAACCGTCAGAGAAAACTATTAGCAATTTATGAAAGAGAGGATGTGACAGGTAGGCTTGGCAAGAGGGGTCTGATGTTAATGTTTTCTTACACCAAACGTACTTACCTCCTCTCACCCAAAGCTATCTCGATCCTGGTATGCCCTCTAAGCACTGCAAAGAACTTTTTCACTAACAGTGCACCAGTCTTTTGTATCCTATTGGTTTTGTGCCATTTCAGAACATGTGTTGATTATGCAACTACCCTCCACAAAGCATACTACACCATTTATACTAGTACAGCTAGCTCACTCTACTACACTAGAACAATCCTCACTTTTGAGAACTAGCAGGTACAAACCACAAAAGCACCATCATATCAGAGGGGAGGAAGGATGGAGCAGATGAGAGGAGGTAGATACTTATCAGAAATACATTTTCAATGTAAGAACCTGTTAACTTCCGAAACAATCTTACTTCCTCTCACCCAAAGCTAGAATCCCATATTACAAAGGTAGAGGGGGCCTGTAAAGGTGCATCAATATTCAATCAAGTGGAAAACTACCACTCTGGAAGAACAGGTGTACAAGAATATGAAAAGGAAGCACACCTGTAGGGTATAGCACTACTTCTGGAACAGGTATGCTATTCTCCTAGTAATCAACATAGTACCACAAAGAAGGTGGAACTGAATTGGCAGGCACCAATGCATTCAGTAAAGAGATGTACAGCACGAATCAAATGAGAAGTGCTGTATAACTATGACTAGAAATGGCACAACATTGACAAACACGAAAATTCTAGCGTGTAAGTGACAATGGGCCCGTATAAGTATGTGCCAAAGGTAGAGCTTAGGGTTACATCAGACTACATCATGTGTGGTCCATCCAGGCAAAACATCCAGTGGAAATGCCTGGTATAAGATACTGTAAAAGACAAGTGTTATCTTCCCAGGCAAAAAACATCCAGGTAAAATGCCTTGGATATATAGGATTAAGAAAAAAAATTACTGGTATCAGTGCAATTGTGAGGGAGTTTGATGACGTCGGGATGAACTACATCTCATCACAGTTGTTGAACAAGCAACCACGACAAAGATAAGGGTAGGAGCTGTTGCTCTAGTAAGGGCCAGGGCAGAGGGAACCATGTCTGAGCTGACCAATATGAAGCAACTAGCAGAACACGACAAGGAGTGGTCTGGATAAGGGAAATGACTCTGGAGAGTAGTCTGATTGGAAGGTAGCGACATATTGACTGAATGCATCTACCCCCAGAGCTGAGGGGTGTTGAACACTAGACCAAAAGGAAGGAAGTTTGGCATTCCAGTGAGTGGTAAATGCATCTATTTGAGGTGTTCCTGGCTCACAACACACCCACTGATATACCTGTGGATGAAAGGACCACTCCATGGGGAAAACCTGGTTAAGACAAGATAAGCGATTGCCCCGACATTCATAATTCCGAGAACATGACATACCAGGGTCGTCATGTTATGGTTGTGGGTCAAGTAAAGGAGATCCAGAGTCTGAAAACAGAGACCTCAACTTGTTTTCCCCATTGCTTGGTGAAATAGCTGATGACAATGGAATTGTTGGAATGAACCATAACCACCTGCCCTTGCAGGAGAGGGAGGAAACTATACAAAGCCCAATAAAGTGCAAAAAGTTCTAGGATGTTGATATGGAGAGTAGCCTCCTTGACTTACCACTGACCAGAAATCTCTCGGGAGATAAGGAAAACCCACCAATGATGCATCTGTGTACACATGATGAAACTCATGACTAGGCAGAGGAATGGGAAACCCCACTATGGTCAGTACCCTGTTGAACCACTAAGCAAGGTCAGCCCTGATCCGGGGGGGGGGGGGGTAATGGAATGGTCCAAGGGATCATGGGAGAAATTCCACTGGTCATGAAGTGTGCACTAAAGAGAAAGCATTTGCCCTTGACCCAAGGGAATGAGAGCTTCCAAGGAAGCCCACATCTCTAAAAGAGATTGAAACTCTCATACAGTGAGAGAAAAAGGTAGGGCCTTTGTGACTACCTGCTCCATATCCCTGAGCTAAAGTGGAGAAGGCTGGGCCCAACTGAGATGAGAAACAACGAGAAACCCTAAATGAATAAGATATTGCATGGGGGTAATAATGGACTTCTCCAACTTAATGATAAACACCACCCAAGCAGCTTCTCAAAAAAGTAAGCGGGTATGAGTGACTGACTGAGAATGGGGAAGAGGCGAGCAGTAGCTAGTCTTCCATGTAATGGTGAGTCTGAATATCCAGAGAGTGAAGATGATGTGCAAAAAGAGTGTACCACTCAACAAAACACATACGGAGCTGAAGAAAGACCAATCGGCAGAGCCCAGAACTGGAAGATACAACCTCCGTGAAGCAAACCATTGAAAACGAGTTGACATTGGAATTGTTGGAATATCAAGACAGGCATCCGTCACGTCAAACTTGGTCATCCAAAGTCTTGGAGAAACCCCTTACAGAAGTGAGAGGTAGGTCTCCATGGTGAAGCGAGGTGTCTCCAGATAGGTATTCAGCCGGGAGAGATCTATGATAGGTCTCCAATCTCCCATCTTTTTGGAGACAACAAATAGATGAAAGTAAAATCCCAGCTGAGTGGGCACCACCCATTCATTAGCTCTTTTGTGTAGGAGGTCTCGAACAGACTTGGCTAGATGGCTCGATGAGGTACAATCTAGAGGAGAGAGGATCAGAACTGAAGGCAAAGACCCTCTGACAGAACCCATGGATCTGTCATGAAGAGTCGCCAAATAGTTGAAAACTGTAGCAACCTGGCCCCCACCTGCCCTGTTAAGGACCTTGCCACCTATAATGCTGACCTCTGGTGGAACAGAAATGTCTAAAAAAGAGTAAGTTACAGGGAGAGGAAGAAAGGGCACGGGCAACAAGAACTGGAGAAGGCTGGGCAGGAACAGCAAGATGAGAGAAAAAAAAAAAATTCACAAAGAAATTGGGCCTGACAAAGATTCCTTAAAGAAGAAAGGGGAAGGTGCACCCCACTCAAGTAATGCATCCCTCCCTAGCAAATCCCAACAACATAACAGCCAGGTGTTGAAAGATAATACTGATGCTGACAAACGAGCCATTGTAGACCACAGGAGGGTCCTGAGTTCATCAGAAAAGTGGTCAGATGACTGGCAAAATGCTTGAGACAACAATTATAGGGAGGAAAAGGTATGTAAAAGGGAGGTCATGGCATGATGAATCCTTGAAAACTGGGACAGATTAAAATGGATCAAAGCCCCCAGAATAGAGTCCCACAAGGGGAAGAGAGGATTCAAACACTGGGAATTTACATCAACTGAGGGAGATAGGGCATACCCACCCCCAACAGCAGTTCAGCAAACTGTTAGGCATGAACTCGTACATTGGGTGAGGTAGGAGAAACATAATAATCTGAACTAAGTTCTTCACATTACAAGGAAGGCAAGGAATCAAGGGCTAAAAGTGAAACATGTAAAACTTGACATACCTGATCAATAAGGTGTAGGAAGGACAAGGTTGGTAAACTCTCTTGATTGTCAGCATTATGTGACTGACCAAAAAAGGCCAGGACCAAAAAACAAAGAGTCCAAATTATCTTCACTCTGATAAAATTCTCCTTCAGAAGCATATTCTGGGGGAAAGGGAGAAGCCATCGACAGTTGAACATAAGCCACTAACTTAAAGCTCAAACTTCCTTGGCAGATATCATCGACGTACCGTACTGGGGACCAATGTCATTTTCATTGTCGACATTTGCAGGAATGTCATAATCCACCACATTAAAACTCATATTCATATTACAAAGTAGAATTCAAGGAATAATAAACTTTTGAAAATAAACTAAATTAAATAATCAAAAGTAAACACTAAAGTCAAAACTTGAAGGTGAAAACTGAGAAACACTGATAAGAAATCACCAACTAAATTACAGTAATCACATGTAGAGCAAATTAAACACATGTTAAGACACTCTAATGCCAATCGAGAAAGTGGGGATTGCTCTAGAATAGTAAAGGAAGCTATCTGTACTCGTATAAATGGCACAATATGATTGGTGGAGGGTAGTCACATGATCAGCACATTCTGAAATGGCATGAAACTAATGGGGTGTAAAAGACTGGTGCACTGTTAGTGAAATTTTTTTTAGTAATGACAAAAGGCAGAGCATGATCGAGATAGCTTTGGGTGAGGGGGTAAGACCATTTCGGAATTTCTAATTTATGGCTCTATAACCAAATAAGATTGGAGGCTATAAAATTATGCTTTGCCTGAGTAATAAAAATATTATAATGAGTAATTTATGTTTAATTCCATACTCATCAGTGGGGTAGTAAATAAATTAGAGAAGAGGGATACCCTAGAGAGCAAATGTCACAATTCTCACTCTAGGACAAATAGAGGATTTTTTAATATTGCCTTACACAATTAATAACTTAAAACTGATATAATATAAAAAAATTGGATTAGCTATGCTTTGATACCACATTTGTTAATATATCATGATAATAAAGTAGTTTAATTAAATTCTGAATGTAACTCAGTGAAACCTCATGACATGTGCAAAAAAGGATGCCCATATGGAAAGAGTTAAGTTAAACCACTTACTCATATCTGTACAACTGTATAATTTAAAACATGTAGCACTATATTGCAAACAACACAACAATACAAAAATGGATTTGTATAGGAAAACTACAAACAAATATAATCATATAATGCCTACATGATGAAAATAAAATCCAAATAAGGAATGATCTTTCTGTAAATCCATGTTTGTAGCCAATACACTAATGCATCTTTACCAAGTAGCAATGCTATGTGAATTGAATAATAATGCCCAATAATGTCTGTAAAAATAGACTTGTAATTAAAAGTCCTCTGTCAACCTACAGAACACAGCAAGAATCTACAGTAATTTACCCTACATGAATATTTACACTTTCCTCTGTCAATCTACAGAACAAATCAAGACACAAGTAATTTACACTTTCCTCTGTCAACTCTACAGAACAAATACAAGACGCAAGTAATTTACACTTTTCTCTGTCAACCTACAGAACAAATCAAGACACAAGTAATTTACACTTTCCTCTGTCAACCTACAGAACAAATCAAAACTCACAAGTAATTTAC